ATGTCGACTCAGCACATTAAGTCTAAAAATGTTTGTGTATATAAACAGAAATCTTAATAAAGAGTATCGGCAAGACTTCCAAAGTGAAAAAAAAAAAAAGATATACTTCTGATATAGCTAAAGCTTGGAATATAATATCTAATGCAATAAAAGATGTGACCAATAAAAACATATCTAAGAAAAAAATAATATGAGAAAATAACAGGATTAAAAAGAAGAAAAAAGCAACAATACTGTATAAAGAAGTTGTGCACTTAGCAAATTGCTATGAAAGATAAAAAAGCAATAAATAAGAAGAAGGTTAAGCTTAAATTAGCAAAGTTCAACTCAGAAATAGAGAGAATAAACAAAGAATACAGTCCAGAAATAAGATATATAGAAGATGGTAATGCAGCAGATCTTGCAGAATGGAGTCAGTTGACAAAGAGGCAGTAGCAAGCACTAAAGGTAGTTGAAAAGATAGAAGAAGATAAGTATACAAAAGTTGAAATTAATGCTGCAATAAGCAGAAGGTGTGAGAAAATCGATGAAGAAGTAGAAAGGATGCTTACTAGTATTTTAGACAGACTATACAACAAAATTAGAATTGACTGGGTGTTGAAACATAAAGAAAAGAATTCAAATTTTTAATTTAAAAAAAAAAAACTCCTCTTTCTCTTTATCTACATTCAGTAATAAAGAAAAAAAATAAACAAAACTATTAAACCTTTATTGAAAAAATTTACTAAAAACAACACAAAGGCTAAAACTCTTGTGCCTAGAAAAAGAAAACAAGCTTGTTTAACTATGTCTAGTTCAGTGTTAACAAGTTACAAAAATAAAAAAAATAAAATTACAAGCCTTAAAGAAAAGTCTAGTTTTGGCTCTGATGATATAAACAAAAAAATAAAACAAGAAGAAAACAACAGATCTGATAGTCTTATTACTGAGAAAAAACAGAAAAAAGAAAATATGCCAAAGGTTATTATAGAAACTCCTAAAGGCCAAAAGAGTAAAACAGCAGAACTTGAAGAAGAAGACTTGTTTTCAGTCATTTCTTTGAGCAATAAAGATCAAATTTCAGATGAACAAACAAAACAAATAACATGTAAGGAGCCTATATCTAACTACGAAACAACCAATCAGAAGCCCAAGATAAACAAACCAAACCAAAACAGTAGTCTGATCTTTTCTCAAAATTGGAAAGAGAAAAAGCCACATACTCTACCTATTCTTCATAAAAAAGAATTTTTACCAAAAATGAAAATGCTAACCTTTGAATTATTTAGTTTAAAAAACATTTCTACTACAAGAATCATAGAAGCTTTGGAATAAGAAATAAGAGAAGATCTGGTTGCAGTTCGGCCAGTGATTAACAAAAACAAAAGAACCTATTTAGAGGTTGTGTTTTCAAATGAAAACAAACAACAGCAATATGCAGCTAAAGGTGTTAGTATCTTTAAACAAACCTTACAAAGGTATATTCCTATAAACATCAAATGCAACTTCCTATCAGTCAGAATTCGAAATGCACTAATGGAAAAAAAGGAATTTATTTCAAAGCAGATTAGAGAAGCATTTCAAGATATTGGCATAATCTCATCAATTAAACTACTGATCCACAAAGGAATCTCTATAATATCAGACTAGTAGGTTGTAATCTTTGAAATAACAGATGACCCAGATATAACAAGTTGAATTTCTAGATTTACACATGTTTGGGACCACAGAGTCACTACTGACTTGAGAGAGGCCCCAAAAATATGCTTCTTCTGTGACAAAGCAGGTTATATAAAAAATGACTGCACAGATTACAAACTCTCAGTTAAGGCTAAAAACCTATACAAACTGCGAAAAGAACAAAAAAAACAAGAAAAAATTCAGCTCCAACAATGCATTGAGAAACCTTTTGAATTTAGTTCAAAAAATCTCTATGTAAACAAGGAACTAAAAAACAAAAATACTATGAACAACTCTATGGAGAAACTTGAAACAATGAACACAGAAGACAATAACATTATAATGCAAAATGAAATAACATCAGACACAGAGATGTCAACAAACAACAATAAACAAGAAAGTCAATTAGAACATCAAACAGAATTAACTAAGGACAAGCCAAATATAGAACATGAAAACATATCAGTGAACTTACTTGCAAGTTTGTACAACAATGTATGGGCAAACAATACTGATCCTATAGATAAAGAAAATGAACAAGGTTTTATAGTGGTTTCCAGAAAAAAGCATAGAAATAAAAGCAGAATCACAACTTCAAAAGTGGGAAGAACTACAGTCCTAGAGACATCAGCTCCCTATACAAAAGCCAAAGAACTGCAATAGGCATAACCTCAACCTCTACTTTATTAAATTATTTTTTAATGGTTAAAAAAAATCAAAATTGCATCACTAAACATCAAAGGACTGAACAACAAAGAAAAAGCATACAAAACACTTACACTATTAAAATCATACCACTTGAACATAATTATGATTCAGGAAACTAATTTAAAAAATATCTATACAAGAAACTTTTTAAAACAAATATTAGAGAATCCTACCATAGACAAGTAATATCAGCAAACCTTATATACAAACAATACTCTTTTCAATTAAACAACATATATGCTCCTCCAAACACAGAGAACAGAGTATACTTTTTTAATAATTGGAACTTGCAACTTAATGAGGAACATATTAACATAGTAGCAGGTGACTTTAACACAAATTTGAATCCACAAAAAGATCGTATTAGTCATGCACCAATTGCTAATGATCCTTCAAGAAAATTACTAAAAAAAATTACTTCAGACCTGATTGATACAGCATCACTATTAAACAACCAGGAACCTTTTCTTACTTATCATCAGAACACAAGAGGAAATCGTAGTATGGCTATAAGGCTTAATTACATCTTTATTGATGCTAATTACAGCCAATACTGTAAATATACTACCACACAGTTTGGCAACTCTGATTACCTAATAATAGAATGTGAACTAAACTTTACATCTGAGTCACCTAGAGCCAAACAATGGAGATTCAATAGAAATTGCTGGAATAATAAACAATTAAAAACAGAAGTAGTCAAGAAGATAAAGAGCTTTGCAGACTTCTCAAAATGGGATTTATCTAAATGCAGAATGCAATCGATAATTAGAGCCTTTAGGTCCCCTTCTGCACCAGAGAAGAAGATACAAAAGCTCCAAAAAGAACTAACTAAACTAAATAACAAATTGGCTAAGAAAGAAAGCTTAGAGTATCTTTTTAAAGCAAAAGAAAGCCTTAGCATACAACTTCAGGGTAAGCTTCATATTCTTTCTGAGAAATAGCAACTTAGATCTAATACTAAATAGATAGAAGAAGGAGAAAAATCAACAAAATTTTTTTTCACACAATACAAAATTAAAAATACATCATCAGCAAAAGATAAAATTTCTCTATCAAACAACTTCAAACCAGACAATATTAACAGAACAGTTCAATATATAAGAAATACTTATCAAAATATATACAGAGCCGAGAAAATTAGTCAAGATGAGGCTGATTTTTTCATCCAGAATCTTACTCTTATGAAACATTGCACTACAGAAAAGGCAGAATAATTTGACAAGACTAAAGCATAAGTACAAGGTCTTAGTTTATTACTAAAACAGTTTTTATTACTAATATAACTATTATTAATGATGACTATATTAATTTGCTTCTTTTTTTTAACTATTCAAAAAAAATGCACTTATATACAAGAATGGTGCCTTACAAAAAGAGATAGCACAGGGACTCAAGATCAACATTTTCCTATTGAACTTAACAGTTTCAAATTTGTCATTATGATTAGGACCTTGAATGGCCTTATATAGCACAAACAACTAGCTCAATCTGGCAGATCTATCTCAACAAATGACTATAGTATCTGATTTTGCATTGTTATAGTATTGTTTCAGTTGGACAGCTTGGCTTCCAAGTCTCTCAAGGTACAATCGATGCACAATAGTTTGCTTGTTTTAAGAATGTTTTTGCTATAAGAAGGCATGGGTCAGGGTGGCACTATGTTAGAGCAACTCTGGTAGCTGTTTTGCTCTTAACATTATCTTTATAAGTTAATTTTGTATGTTGAACTCTGCTAAGATATCATTAGTACCAAATTCAAAAATTTTAAGTTGAAGATATGCTGCAATATTAAATAATTTTTTATATAATTTAAAAATATTTGTTATCATTTTTTTCCTAATTTGCAATCATTACAATAATGCAAGATAGAAATTTTAGAACAAGAATCTATAATAAATAAATAGTTAAACATATTTTATATATAAACTATTAAAGAATATAATATTTATCTGTAATAAATAAATGCAAACTTGAAAGACAATTGCATTATAAGATTTAATTATGTTTACAATTTAATATATATCTTTATATATAGAAACTCTGATTAAATTTGTTAAAAGTGTTGAATCACAACATAACCAAAAAGTGAAAAAAATTCAAGTCTTTCTTTAATTTTAGTATTATCTAATATTGCAATAATCAGATCAGTATATTTAATTGTATCCAAAAGTCTTTTAACTCATATTATATTTTTAAAACATAACTCAGAGTCATAAAGTGTATAAGATGAATGTATATGATGTAATTTTAAAAAGAGTTAATATAATTTTTGTTAAAATAATAACTAAAACAAATTATAATTAAAAACAAATTATATTTTATATATAAACTTAATATTTTAAATAGCGCATTTAGCTAAATTCTTCCAAAAATATTATATATTTGTAGACTAAGACTTGCAAGTATAACTAGAAAATCATAAAATTGATCTGAATACTTTAAATTTTGAAGCACTTTTTTATATTGTTTGTGATCTGCAACTTGAACTATTATATAACATAAGCTTTTAATTGTTTTTCTATTTTTAAAACTGCTATTTATATCTATTTCTGCAAACTTTGTTTAAGAGTAGGAGTAACATAGATCATTTTTACTAGTAATTTTATAGCAAATTATATGATATTATATGATTTACATATAAAATTTTGTTTACATTACACGAATTTCCTATATAAATCTTGTGTGACCTAGGAAACTCATAAGCTGACTCAGGCAAACTTAGTAATATATAAAGTATTTTTTTTTAAATAAAATAAATTATAAAATTTTATCAAAATAATTAGAAGATACAGATTTATATACTATTAAATTTTGGTAACAATTGAATATAATAATAAAAAGTTTTATTAGTAATATATTTTTTTTTTATATATAAAATTTTATTTGCTAGGAAAATCATATGACAAATGATCTATGTCACCCCTACCCTTAAAATAAGTTTTTATTATTTGTACTAGTATTGTTTGCTAAATATAAAAGATCATTAACATCTTGATTATAAATATATTTAGCAATTGGATTACTTCAAAGTTGAATTTTTGATATAAACTTTTTTTTTATAATTTGGCTTGTCTTGTTTTGACAAAGCATTTTATTTATAATTATATTATAAATTAATTTTTATTTATATATAATTATATATATTATTATAATTATATATATTTTAAAAACTTGGTTATTTTAAACTTCTTTACAATAATCACACAATTTAAAAAAATTAGTAGTATATTGTTTATATAAAACAGATTATATTATTAGGCCTTCAATTTTTCATTTAGATTATCAAATTATTTCATTATTTAGTGATTGCAATTCTTTTTCAGTAAGTATCTTATATTTTACTGTTTTATTAGAAGAAAATTTTTCTGGAAAAAGTTTGTATATAACAATATCTCTTCTTAGTGCATCATCATAAGTAATGTGAGTGAATACTTTATTAATATAAACTTTATAAATTGAATTATCTAATTCAATACAAAAATATTATTTTAAAAATTGATTATCTTTTTTTAAATTTGGTAAAAAAAAAGTTTAAAATTGAAACAACATTACCTTAAAATTTGTAACCACCACTGTTAATATAATTTTTAAAGTAAAACTCATTATATGCTTACTTAAGTTTAATTATTTTTTCATACTTGCAAGTTATATTTAGACCACAATCAGATATATGCACTATTATTTAGTTTTTTAGTAGCTGATCTTTTGTATATTTAACTATTTTAAAGTTGTTTAAAAAAATCTGATTTATATATAAATGTTTTATTAATATTGCTTAAACAATTTTAAGGGTAGAGTATATGTAGATCATTTTTTATATGATCTTTGTAATACAATATAATTTTTATAAAAAATAAAGCT